TTCCTAATCCGACACTGTTTTAGTTTCCTTTCATCTTGTTGCATTACCTATACCTTATCATGTAATACAATTTGTGGGAGTCTTGGCCAAAGGTGAAAAACAAGGTCCAAACTTTCAGTCTGAGATGTGAAGCACATCCTTTTAGCCTAGTGTTAAACTAGTTATTAAGCAAAATGTCCTAATGTTTTGGACTCTTTGATTGTGTAAAATATGGCAGGTGATTTATTATTATATATTTACATGTTTGAAATAAAACAAAAAAAACAACAAACAGAAGACAAAGTAAAAAAAAAACAAGTTGTCACAAATCACAAATGTGACAACCCCGTTAACGTCGCCTTGATGTGGCATAATTAGTCTCCCATTTCGTCAAAACCAAAAGCATTTTAATGAAAAGACAGTGCGATAGTTTTGACAGATGAAACTTTGCTTTAATTAAATTAAACTGGAAGAAAAATTGTAAGAGAAAAAGAACATTTAATTCCGATAATTAATTACCTTGTACATAATGTAACGGGATGACTTACAGTATAATAACTGAAAACTTGCAGACAGTTCATTTTTCTTCCCTTTTTATTGTTTTATGACATTATTATTTATTAAAAGACAGATCCCCCTTAATAGTGTGTTGTGCTGCTTTCATCTACATAATAGTCTCATCTTGCTCCCCATCGTTCACGTGAGGGGTTTTAAAGCAGCATCAAATGACCTGTCGAGCTGGTAGCTTCAGCTCTAGTATTTACAAAACTCGTGATTCTGAGGCCGCTACAATTACAGTGACATGGATTTTTCCCTTTGTTGGTGGTGGTGATGCAAATTGGTACTTGTGACAGAACAAAGAGTTTTTCTTTGGACAACTAAGCGGCGTTTTAGATTTAAGAGCTTCCTGGGATACCTGTCCAGGAAACTTCTCACTTTTTGATGGTGCATGATTAAAAGGAAAGAGGGCGATCCCTGCTTCTAGTTCTGTGCCAGTTATCTCAAGTTAGATCCTCAAGACTTGTAAAGAGAGTTTTGTGTAAGCCTTTTTTAATCCTGATAAATAAAAGTATTTTCTTTGAGTTGAGTTGGAAAAGAGATAAACAGGTGAAGTGTTTAGATATGGGTGTTGTTTTATGGGCTCAAGCATAAAATGAAGGAGACGGAACAGAAGTTTATTTATTCACTGTGTATTCCCACTAGTCATTACCATTGTCTCCGGCTGGATATAACTTTAGTTCATGAGAACCTCTGATTATTTTCTTCACTCTGATCATATGACATTGATTCAGTGGCGATACGTACATACGAAGCAGAACCCCTAATCCTCCATAGTTTTGATCTCCATCCCCTGGCAGCTCCCATGGGCCAGCATGTTGACGTTGTTGATCTCATTATTTTCCTTCCAGCTGTGTACGAACAGTCCTGTGAGGCATACAAACACAATGGCAACACATCGGGACATTTTTATATCGACGTGGACGGCAGCGGACCAATCAAACCGCAGCTGGTCTACTGCAACATGACAGGTGACACAACCACACTTACAGCCCCCTTTACTACCATCATCAGTCAACATTTGCTTGTATTAACATTTATATAATTGCACATAAATAATGACACTCGACTGTTTTTAATGCACCTTACACACCCCCTTGTCTTTTTTCTGATGTTTGTATTATTTCTGTTATGATACTACAGAACTTGTTTTTCTTGTTCATTATTATATAGATATTCCAGTCAGTCTCTATCAGCACTTTTTCTGTCTAGACTCCTAGTCTCTATCCATCTATTGATATGGTTTCAATTCCATGCTTCTTATTTAACTACAGAAAAACTTATTTAGTGATTTTTAGTGTAGAAGAAGGTGGAAACTGAACATTACAAACATATACGGCAAACAGCCAAGCTAGAATAGATGTTCACATTCATCTATACTAGCATTTGAGAAGTCAGACTCAAGTGCCGTGAGTGGGGCTTTGGCTTTCAGTGGGGCTGGGATTCCTCGTAACAGACACTGACTGCAGTTTGTAGTGTGA